TTTGGAAAAGCTGATTAGAAAAAGATTTAAGTAGACAAAGGAAGTAGATAGAGTTTTTACTACAACAAACACGGTTTGAGGGTCTCAATGGGGTAATGGATTTTACGGCTATCGGTCATAGTAAAATTTGTCAATTTTTTGGCCTAACGGCTAAGATCTATGGCTCTTTTACGACAAGCGGTCAACCCCATTAAGACCCTCAGATTTGCATTTGTGGGAAAATTTCTCTGGCACGAACAGTTGCGTACGCCAAAGTATTGTGCACAGGGTAAAAGAAATTTGGAAAAAGTTTAATCTGAAAATCAACAAAAAAGGTTTATATTATTAGAAAGGGACTCACAATGGAGTAAAGGCTAGTAAAAATGTTCTCTAAGCAAAACAACTAAAGGCGATTCCGTGGGATACATTGGCAACTGAGCGCAGCATTAGAAGGGATTGTGCAGCAACAGTGGACTACCATGATCAGATGATTAGTCAGTTAGCTCATCCGAAGAAATTATTGTAGAAAATTTTAGCGTTGAATAAACAGTGACTGGCTTTGTAGCTGGGTTTAGAGTGGCGACTCAAAAAGCTCTGGATTTTTCTGAAACAAACTGGAACTCCACCTACTGATCTCCTCGTGTTTCTCATCGCTTGTTTCATCCCTTCAAAGAGCAACAGCTGGATGGAAATAATTACCATTTCCGCTAATGACGACTTCTTTCCTTTGAGGACACATATTTTTCGCCTCCGTATTTGTTTATCAAACACGTTAATAAGTAGGAGAGCAGGCTATTCACAATCTTTTTAAAACCGTACTTACGAAAACAAGGAATGTCCTAAAATGGCCTTGACTGATGTGCACAATGACCTAAAATGACCTAAAAAAGAAACCTTACATAACCTTAACTAATGGCCAGAAAATAACCAAAAATAACGTTTAAGCCAGCTAAAAAGATCCAAAATAGTAGTTGTTAGTAGGACAATGATCTACACCGCACATAAGCCTAAAGTGGCATCCTAAGTAAACCCGAGATAAAATGACTTTCAGTGATCTATAACGCATTGCAGAAGTGAATGCTTACCCAAAGAAAGACTGAAACGCCGAAGGTGCTGTGAACAACCCGAAGTCCCTGAGGAATTCCCGAGAATTACTATGCGATTTTTCGTGGTGGGAAGTGCCCAGTTTTTCCCCAGCAAAGCGGATTTGATTGGTGCGAAGTTCCAAGTTTCGCTCAGCAACGAGGCTTTGATTTATGTAGGAAAGAATGAGTTATCTTTTATTCGCGCGCTGACCTTGCCCTTGGCATGGTTTCCTGTACACTTCTAGTTCCAGGTATGTACGCTTGCAAATGAGGGTCTCAATGTTCGTAAGCGGTATGAAATTCAAATAAAAACTCCGCGAATTTATCATGCATGAAATAACTTGCACACACAAAATCGCTAAAAAGTGCGACCCTAGCAAGGAGAGAGAAAGCAAATTAAAACGGATTCTCACATAACCCATACTCCTATGCGTTATTTTGCGCGAGCTTCCAAAATTTAAATGTCTGAACACGCGTCACGCTTTGTCTTCCCAAAGCATGTTTCTGAATTAAAGTTAAGATGGAAAAAGTTGTGGTTATTCATCGTGGTGAACAACAATAAAAAGCTAAGTTTTTCGTTCGTTTCACGATGTAGTCACGTATGATGTAGATCGCGACGTTTCGACTGCATACTGCTAGTCTTCTTCAGGCGATGAGGTCGACTGGTCATGCGTGATTTTATAAAGCATGATGCTCTGCTGTGATTGGTTGCTTTTCAACAGCTCTGATTGGTGCATTTCGATCCTTGCTGTTCACTCAGTGCTTTGCTCCCTCGGCGGTCCGCTGTCGCACGGCTCTTCTGTTCTTGTGTTTCTTGATCATGGGCATCCACGCTTCTGAAATTTCTATTTTACTATCCCTGTTGATGTTGTTAGGGTGAAGTCTTATATGAATAGCTTCTTTGACCCTGCGCGTGAAGTAATAAGGGTCACTAACAATAAACTTTACTTCGTTCCAGAGTGGCTTGTGCCCGGTGTTGTGGGCATGTTCTGAAACGGCGGAGGTCTCGGTACGGGCGAGTCAAATGTCTCGATCGTGCTCCTTAATTCTGTCTTGCATAGGTCTTCCAGTCTCTCCGATGTACACCTTGCCGCATTCACAGGGGATCCTGTAAACTACACCATCTTGTTTAGCCGGGTCGACAGCGTCTTTTGGTCGTACTAACTGAGATCGTAGCGCAGTCTCGTAAAGGCACTTAACAATACAGGCTTTTCTTTTCAACGAAATAAAAACGTTCGCAGACGGGACTAATTAAAAAACCTACTCGACGCATTCTTCCTACTTTATCAAGAATACGATTATTGTTGTCTCACCAGCTGCTCTGCATCTTAGGAGACAGTCTTTCTATAAGATTTCCTATGTTGTCGGGGCTTTAAATCTTGTTGAGACACCCGGTAGTTTTGAGGATGTTGGTGCAATCGAACATGAGAATTGAAACACCTATAGATTCAGCATCCTTCTTGGTTTAGGTACATGCAGTTATGCACAATCTGTTAAGCTCTTCCCTTGTATGTTGCTCTAACGAATACAATCTGCCGGCACTTTCACGTTTATTTCCCTCGATAACAGTCTCGAAGGCAGGGGCGAAAAAAAAAACATGAAGCGGGAGCTTTTTTTCTCGATTACGAGTTTTCTGCTGCTGATTTACGAATTCCTCCATCTCACGATTTTGCCGTTCAAGATTATAGTAGGCTTGGTCTCTAAGGTAAAATTCGTCATCAGGGTCTAAACTAAAAGATCTCGGAACCGTTTTTTGCTAAGTCATCTGACTCACGGGCACGATAATCGCATCATAAAACATGGGCGGATCAAATTCTGTTTGGAGCTCTGGGAGATCTCCTCAGGATGATTGACCTCGCGTGATGCAGATAAGAGAGCATGGACACGACGCCAAGAGTAGTCCTTTCAACATTTACCTTAGCATACTCGTCTTCCCTGGCTACTGCCTTCTTGTGTTTCTTTTCCAGTTTAAGATGGTCAAGTTGATTATAAGTTTGAGAAATCATGAGAGGCGAAAAGAGCAAGAAAATAATTTGCCTGTACCTTCTAGGAAAACATTGAATGTTTGAATTTTAATTCAAGTCGCAGTTTTTATTATTTAGTGCAGACAACCTAGAAACCTCTCTTTTGGTTAACAGGACGAGCGAGATTTTGCCTACGGGCTCTTGAGTCAAGCGGAATTGGAGTAAGAAGAACTGAAGGTAATTCCATTGAACACTATTTATGAATATGTGTTACCTATATTACTTCTTTTGTTTTTAATGTTTGTGCTTAAGGTTTAGTGAACAAGGCTGAAGATTTGTTTTTCAACTGCAGTGTTACGAATAAAACCCGGTGATCTGTAAGCAAATTGATAAAGGTAAAATTTACACTAAGAACACATCAGTAGATAATTATATCTGGTAAATATCATTTTAAATGTTGTCTATCGTCATTATCATTGCTCATAAATGCAGTTCAGAATTTGAACGTTTATATCTTTATCACAAATCAAAACACAAAGGTACAGACCCGAATTAATGTAAGTATCTTAGTATATATGGGCAAAAATTGTTACTTAACTAAAGTAAAAGCGAAGGAAATTATAATGGAGAAGCTTTTATTGTGGGTGAAATATTCAGGAGCACTTTCGCGCTAAATATAGATTATTGTGTATTCACAATCCATAGGATGTTTCGGCTACGCACACGACAAATTATTTTCGAACAGCTTTCTTACCCTTTACTGCTTTTGATTTTAAAATTTAAGTCCCTTTTTCGGCAACGACAGCAAATTGCTCTCATCTTCAATGAAATTTTAAGCGAAGTCTTCTATCTCATCGCATGTTAGGTTTAAAAATTAGGGATTATCACTCAGCGAATAAGTAACAATTATTCCATGAGCACGCGTGAACGTTTGGATATCTGGAGCCCTTTAGCAGCTCCACAATAGTTCGCGGAACACATTTCAATTTAAGATGACTCAGAGTATGAGCTGATAACGGAAGGCGAGTGAAGAAATGATATTTTCCGAGTTGAAAATTTGATAACACCATACATCTCCCAGTTTTCGGTAGGGTGACACGTTACATTTGATATATTAGAATGTGGAATATTCTTTTTCTGCGGTGATTATGAATAGTCACACACCTTTTGATCCGCCGGGTATGGATTAAAAGTACATGAATCAAATTTTTCATGACGGAAGAGGCTACTCTTCTTTTTTTATTATTCCGCCACCTCGTAAGCAACGAAGAGCATTTTTTTTAATAATGTCGACCCAGTTCTAATATTTGGCGATAATTTTAGTTACCAAAAGTATTGTACTGAGTATTGTATTAAGTATTGTACTGAGTATAGTATTAGGTATTGACTGATAAGTTGAACTGTAAGGACGTGAATGGAATACCGTGAGTGTGAGCAGGGAAGGTCAAAAGGAAAATCTAGGCAACCTCTTACTTTCGAGTGTATTTTAGCATACGAATGTCAAATAGAAGTCTTTGTTTTATTTTTCTCTTTTAATGTAACATTACACAGGAACAGCAACGAAGAAAAGAGCAAGAAGAGCTCGAGAGGTGTGAGTATAAACGATAATGGGAAATTCGATGAGAAATTTTAAATTGGTGTTTAATCTAATTCATTTCCTGGTTTTTTCCAGGTAACACAAAACAGATCATCCGTGAAGCGACATTAATTTGAACATTGGCCTAAATTCAAGATAGAGAAATAGTGTTTCACTGAATCTTTTAACCGATATTTTCCTTAGAAATGTTGAGCAACACTTCAGAGACGAAAAGTTGAGTTATTATTTGCAGTTTGGTGCGGAAGTTAGACTGATAATTAGCACAGGTTGAGAGTGAATGGAAACCGTGTCATTTTGGAAAATCTCACGAGCAGTTGTGGCACTCGGTTCACTCTGACTCATTTACTCTGTTTGATTCATTCTCTTAAAGTGTGGATGGGCTGCAAGCACGAGCTGACAAAAGAAAGAGATGAAAAGCTGTCTGAAATTGCTAGAGTGAGGGTTTTTTATTTCATATTTCTCCATTCAAATTTTCTTTCGAACTTTTACATTCTCTGTGAATTTTCACGAGCCAGCAAATGTTAAACAAAAATTTCAATAAAGAACCGTCTTTATATAGTAACTTATTGGGTGCAGTTTAGTAACTTTGCAAAAACATCTACGTTATCGTGCTTTAAAAACTTTTTAAAACAATACAAGGTAGGACTTGCAAATCTGTGCAAAGCAAGTGCCAGACCCTGTTGTGATTTTTTGTAGAAACTGGAAAATATGGGGTCCCTTATAAATTTTCATGTCTGCCACAAATTTCCATGAAACGCCACAGACGCTTTGATATTGATATTATTTTTATAAATATTTATCAACAAGCAAGGAATTTTTTTTTCAGGAAAAAGTTAGAAAGCATGCAATCTTCTAGGGGTCCATTAGTTTTTATAATTGATACAAGACAGGTTTCCATGTTATACAGTAGGTTACATTCGCATGACTTTTTTTTCTACAGCTAAAAGAAGACATTCAAGTCCAAAGTAATAAAGCCCAGCGAGAAGCTAGAAAAAGAAAAGGAACTTAAAACGGAGTTATGTCAAGCAAAGAGCGATTTAGAAAATAGAACTGCTGAGCTGAGGACAAAAGCAGGAAATCTTCAAAGTGCACAGGAAGACATCACAAAACTTGATCAGCAACTCAAGGAACAGAGAGTAAATTTGTTAAGATTTTTTGTTCGATTTTCATTTGTCATAAACGTTCATGTTAATATTCGCGTGACGATAAAAAACTTTTAGGCTTCCCTTGGCCATGGATACTTCTTTAATTAAAGAGGAACGGCTTTCGAGTGTTGATGATCGTATTTGCTTTATTTCAGATGCTGGATGAGAAAGCTATGGAGTATAAAGATGTGTTGAATGCTTACCTAAACAAAGTCCAGCAAGATTTTGATCAGCAACTTCTCAGCATTGACCGGCTGGCCACGGAAAACGCACTGAAAGCTGCCGAGTTGAAGGCAAAGCGGGCTGAGACAGGAAAAACTGCACCAAAGTGAATGGCAGAAGCCATCCAGAGAAAGCTGAGAGCCATTGAGTATCAGAAGATTGAGGTTGAACAACGGGAAGAAACTCTTAAAAGACAAGTTTCTGGCTTAGAAAAGGTAATTGGAATGATGATATGAAGAGAGAATGTTTGTCTTTTTTGAAACTAGACAGATCTCAGACATGTCTGGCTTTCCCTTTCCTCAGTTCTAGAGTAGCTCCAAGAAGGCAAAGTCACTTTAATCGTGATTTTGCATGTAGATTTAAGGGAATTAACAAGGTCAACTACAATTGCACCTTTTTCCCAAGTATTATCCTGTTAAGTATGTTATCTTTGTTGTATAATTAGTACTACGGTGAGCTGCAATTTATGCAACGGCAGGTGACCAATTCATATTGATAGCCTGACTCTATATCTTGAGATAGACGATAAAACATCCATCAAATGTTTTAGTTCTTGTTAAAAGTTGACGTAATTACAAATCGTGATAATTAGATTGTCTAACGCACTTAATAATTCAGATTACTCAAATGAGATTTAACCTTTACAATCTATAGACTTTCTCTTCCTTTATCTTAATCAGACCTTAAATTAGGCAGGAAGCAGGCTGAAGCGGATAAAAAAGCCATCGACGATCTTGTCTGTGAAAGGGAAATCCTTAACCAGGTACTTTACCCTTGTCAATTTTACTCTTAATCTGAGCGTGGGAGTTTTGGGTTTTGGTTTTTAGAGGAGGATGTTATATCTAATATTTGCTTTCATTTTTGTTTATTGATCTTTTAAAAAGTGTCGAATTTCTGTTATAACCTTAAGGACGTTGATGTTTGATTAAAAAGGAATATGGATTTTGTATGAAACATCGTTCTTTTTATGAAAAAGATCATCGCTTAGATAATTCTCCTTAGGTGGGCTAAAAACTAACAATTTTGTTAGAGCTACATTGAATCAGATTTACGAGGGAAAAGGAATATGCATTTACTTCGTGATCGAACAAATAAGCAAAGAATTGATAGATTGATATGCCTCGTGGCATCAACGTCCTTAAGGTGAAAATTTACCGCTACATTTATTCTGGATTCCCGAAAGGAAACACGATCGTCAGCTATCGATCTAAGATTTTAGGGCTCAGTTACCTTTTGTAATTGAGCGTGGCTTTAAGCAACGTAAGGGCTTTTCTTTAATACATTTCTTAAACCATGCATGAAAAATAAATTAAACTTGCTTCATGTTGAAGTTTATCCAAATGAAACAACACGAAGGTTACCTGCTATATTATTCAGTGTCATTTGTTGTCATTGTCGTTTTAACCGTGATTAAAAAGTGTTCTGCGAATTGAAGTCAGAGATAAAAAAATTTAAGAATGACTCGGGTTTGCACTTTTTGATGTCTTTAGTTTTTGTTCAGCGCCGGTGAAAACTAAGACAAGAACGTCATCCACGAAAGAAAATTACAATCAACTTGATTTCGGCACGGCTTTCTAATTCTGTTAATTTGATTCAGTTTTGAACGACCTTTTTCCTTAAAAAAATTAAATTAAACAAAAACAAAATAAAACAGGAACGAAGTTTGATTCCTCAGTCTAACCGTTTCGTTGGTGACTAGTTTGAGTGCATTTCATTCGCTCATGGTTAAACGGGAACTCATTGTAAACAACTCCATCGTTGGGTCGCTTGATCTCTACATGTTTTCGCCATAACTCCTGATAACTCCGTTCAAAGTGTATTGCAACTCTAAAAAGGTGGTGCTTAAAAGAGGTGTACTGTCATGATTGAGAAGAATATTCAGTAAACAAGGGAAAAAACGGCGACGATTTCAATTCCAAATTTTACTTTACAAAATTACGAAGAAAAACGAGTGGTGCTGAAATCTAGAAGCACGAAACGAAATGACAGCGGTATAAATCAAAGAAAAAAATATTTAGTGGGCTTCAAAATTTGATAGATGAATCTGCAGACTCGAGACTTAACTGGAATGGAATAATTTCAAACTTTAATTGCCCATGTGGATTCATATTAACAACTCACTTGTAGTAAACTATCTTCGGTTTGTGCTTGTTACACTCTTAAAGAGGATAATTTCGTTGTCCTTCAAGTGGTCTATGAAACCGAAAATTCAAAGCTGATAATGATCCTTAAGAGCCAAGGTTAGGATATTCAAGAACAAATATGACGTGGACGATTCGTTGAAACGACTGCTAAGTCACTTTTCAACACAACGCGACGGCGTTCTCGACCCAGTTTTTTCTCGGCATTTTTGCTGCGCGCGCCGTTCTGAAATTACGTTCCCGTCCTCTTGCTAAACCACTCTAATGAATGCACTTGGGGTATTGCCATTCCCCCTGGATCGAATGTTTGTCCATTGCAGGTTCCCCTCCTTCCACTCCTCCCCTGGACTGATTGCTAGTCCATTGCAGGTTACTCTCCTCCCACACCACCCTTAGGAGGTCTTAACCCCCCTAGGCACCGCAATTTTTTATTTTATGTTTTCGAGTATAATTAATAAGAGAGAGGATTTGAGTTTGTCCCTTCTTCAATACACACAGGGGGAGATGGAAGAAAAAGAAAACAATGAAAATGTAAGTACTAAAGGTTGTCTCATTTGTTGCATTAGCACTGTGCTTTTTAGGTGCTTTCATGTCTCCCGATCTTATTGCAAATGTATAAGCTAGGCTTATACTTGTGTCAACTTAAGGTTAATGTTTGCTTACTTGAAAACGCTGAAATGACTAACAACAGCCAAGTCTATCTTGGAATCAAATTTTGGCATAGCAAGCTGCCGGATTATTCGCATACAATCAATTATCAATCAATCAGTTTGGGAAGTTATAACCTTCCCCTTATTTTAGATCCTTCAGCACCCCTCTGCCTTTCCTCGTAATATTTAGTTCCTCGTAAAAAATTAACACTACATCTAGAATTAGTAAGAGCCATAAACATTTCTATTTGCCGGAAAATATTTTGTTCACATATTTTACCAATTTTAGAGTATTCCCTAGCGCTATAAGTGTTAAGGAGCTCCAGTAAATGACACGAAAGAACATTCTGTTTGTCGTTGTAAAGTGATATTATAGAGTGCTGTAAATTTTTTCTTTTCTTTGCAGAGAATTTAAGAAATTAGAAAGAAACTTCGCCATCTGTCGCCTGGAGGTAAAATAACTGTAATTGTGCATTTTGTACGTAGAACACGTCATCTGGTCGGTGAATCCGCTTTCCAAGCTAGTGTATTAAGCGGAATCAAATGACAAATATTTTAATGTTTGCATTTATGGGCGAAATATTTGAAGGAAGATTATTGTCTTACCGAAACGATTGATGAGGTTGGAAACATGCTGTTGAATCAAATGACAAATATTTTTATGTTTGTATTAACGGGCGAAATATTTGAAGGAAGATTATTGTCTTACCGAAACGATTGATGAGGCGGGAAACATGCTGTTGAACTTAAAGGTGTCCATTAAGTTTTGAATTTAATTTAGTTGCAAATTAAGGGCGAGTGGAAAATTTCGAGGTGAAATTTTATCAAAATTTCTTTCTGAAAATGCAAATAGTAGGTGTACTGAGAAATTTAGTTACAAATTATTCTCAAAGCAAATTCCAATAACCTAGTAATATCTACATAATTTGATTACTTGTCGACACAATAGCAAAGAGTTGATCATCTAAAAAGCCACCGTGAAGTTTTTCTAATTTTAGGGAAATTCAACCATTTAGTGGATCATGACTTATTAAATTTTTTAAGTTCAAAAACCTTACACTGTTAACTGGAAGAGTAAAATTTCATTTTTTTTTTTTTACTTCTTACATTAGATTGGAGGATGCGAAGAAAGCTCTACCAGATGTAAGTATATCTGAGAAATGTCTGCATTCACTTGCAGCACTTTAATTTCTTTTTAGCTGTAGAGATCTGAAATTATTCATTTCAGCTTCTCTTGTAACTTTTCATCCAACTAACCTGTAAGGAAGTGCAAACTATCTAACCAACTGAACTTGTCAGCGTGGTTGAGTATGTCTTGGGATGAGGTTCCTGATCAAAGTATTCAAAAAGCTGAAAAACGGATCCCCCTCTCTGACCGTCTATTGAAATTGGAATACTACGACTTTATTATGGCACGAGCAAAGTGTAGTTAAATGCATGCGAACGCTCATCACGGGATGTAAAGTGACGATTCCCAGTTGAATTACTTTATTTTGTTTCATAAAAAACGTTAAATAGCCATATAACTTTGATAACCTCAACCGCTCACTTGTTTTTATAAAAACCTCAAATCACGGCTTCAGTTTTAGATATTCCCGTAATAACATTACTCTCGGTTATTAAGTAGTTAGAATGGAATGCCTTTTTTGGGAACCTGTCAAAGAAACTACTATCATGATTTTTCCATTACATTTTCAAGACAAACTTACTTTCTTAGGAGCTGTTGAAGAATTTAAACAAAAACATAATTTAGTTTGATCTTATAATTAGGGCCTTTCCCCACTGGCGACTGAGTTGTTTATCTAGACATATTTTCTTTCATCGCCAACATTTTACAAGTACGGATGGTTTGTCGCGACTTTACAAATTTTGGCCGAAGTGGACATATCTTCAAACGCACCGCCGATAAACCAAACCTTGATAACCTTGTCAATCATTTAATAATTTAATTTAATAATAAGTTCTTATATAGCGCATTAAAATTGAACTCTATGCGCGTTACAATTACAAATTAACAAAATTTCCCTTGCAATTCAATCTAAACTAATGAATTATTGATTTCTGTTTTTGAAGGGTTGCACTGCAATCTGTTTTTCTTGGCCCACTCCATGATTGCATTAACACATGATTTCAATCTTTCCATGCCTAGCATTCTGTCAGAGGAGTTTATCTTTATGTAAAGTTGCGAATCATCGGCATATATCATACAGTTTAGGCCATGTTCAGCAACAATGTCTTCTGTAGGCGAGGTATACA